TGATGGTGGTGATGATGGTGGTGATGATGGTGATGGTCATGGTCATGGTGATGATAATGATGGTGGTTATGATAGTGATGATGATGCTGATGGTGATAATGGTGATAGTGATGATTAAAATGGTAGCAGAAAATCATTTCTGAGCAGTTACAGTTGGCTGGGCCCTGGGCTAAAGTTTCCGTGAGCATTGTCTCTCATCCTTACTCAGTCCTGCAAGGACTGATTTACTCTCCCCATTCTACAGGTGGACAGACCAGTTGGCCCTTAGAGGCCCAGCTGGCAATAGTCACAGGGTGCCAAGTGCTGGCAGGGTCGTCCCTGTGTATGGTACAGGAGAGACACCACATGTGCTTAAAGTGTGGCTTGATCCTAGGAGGCTCCCTGGAGGAGGTGGCATGACCTGACCCTGAGGAAAGAGAAGAGCTCTCACAGGCGTGGAGGGGTAACGGCCTGAAGCTATACCATCAGCCACAGCAGCCCACCAGGGAGGCTGAGGGGAGATCTGGGGGTACACGGGGCCTGTGTGGGTGCAGGCATTTCAGGGAGAGCTGCTACTAATGCTGTGTCTGGGTAAGCCCTGGGCTGCCCTGGTTGATGCCCATGGTGACCACTCGGTGGCTAGAGGCTGTGGCTGGGTTTAGGACCTGGTGCCATCCTGCCGAGGCCTCTTCATAAAGCAGTGGGGTTGCCAGGCTGTCCCGCCTCCCTGAGCCTCCAGAGAGGCCTGCTGTCGTCTCCCCAGTCCTCAGCGTGTACAGGGTCTCCAGGAACCCTCCCTGCAGCCTGTGAGGTCCCAGACGAGGACTGGTGGGGTACTCAAGGGGTTCGTGAGCTTGGGGCCAAGAACAGGAGCGGGGGGAGTTGAGTCAGCCTGGCAGGCCGTTAGAGCCCAGAGCTGAAGAAGAAGGCTAGTTAGTGTCTGGAGGTGAGCCAGGGATGATGGAAGGACAGGAGTGTAACTTGGAACGTCAGGAGGGTCAGGTACCAGCACTGGGCTGCAGGAGTGGAGGGGCCACAGGACAGAGAAGGGACCTGAGGAGGGCTTGGTGAGATCCAGGAGGGCTCCCTGTTGGAGGGGGTATTTGAACTGGGGCCAGAAGAAGTGTGGACATTCCTTAGGCAGAGGAGACAGGGGAGGACCCCCATTTCTGAGCCCCTGTTATGCACCAGGCCCCATCAGACTCTTCTTGGGCCTGATGTTGTTTAATAGCCTTTAATGCTGATGGCTAAATGGCACCCTGTCTACATTCCATGATGCAGGCCGTGAGCTGGCATCCAGCAGCTCCCTGGTTTCTCTCAGGCCCCCGTCTGGGGTTGGGAGCAGGTGGTGGGAGGCGAGACCTGGGCTCATTTACTGGGCAGGTTTCACTCAATTTCCCACTGTGTGAGCCGGCTGCTTGCATCTACTTCCGTAGACCATGGAATTCATCCTGAGTTCCTGCTGCCGCCCTCCCCTCTGGGACCTGCATACCTGGGAAGCTGGGTCCCTGCCACCAGGCCCCCGGAAGTCACAGCAACAGCAGTAGCTGGGAGATTGGGTGATGAGGGAAGGGCTGTTCAAATCGGGGCGCCACCACTTCTGAGCTGTGTGACTTCGGTCAAGTACGTTAGGCTCTCTGATCCCTCTTTATAGGGGAAATGATACTGTCTGCCCCTCAGGGGGGTTGTGAGGTCTGGGTGGGCCCGTCCAGTTGAAGGCCTGGCCAGAGCGAGGCTCTGGAGGTTGGTTGTGGTTGTTGTTACTGGGGGGCTTCTGGGGTGGAGGGCAGAAGGGGGGCAGCCCTATTCCAGCTGATACCGCAGTAGCCCCCAGGACAGGGCAAGCCCTACACTTACCCCATTCTAGAGAAGGGCAAGTAGAGGCCCAGGCGAGGATGTGGCTTGCCCAGGGCCACACAGTGATTGGTTCTCCGGACTCTGGTCTGCTCCAAGATGGAGGCCTTTCAGGCCTTTTATGAGCACCTGCTGTGTGCCGGGTGCGGACAACGGGCTCTGCACGTGTTCTTCGGTCCTGCAGATAGCCTTACGAGGAACACAGGCTTACAGGCCCCCGGAGGATGTTGGGTCCTGGGCCACCTGTTACTTGGTTAATTCATTCATCGGGTATTTGTTGGGGCCAGGCTCCTGTCAGGACCCTGGGACATGCTGTGAACCAGACAGACGCAGCTCCTGTCTTCTCAGAGTTTGCATCCTCGTGGGAGACAGGTGTCAATTCCTTGATTCAGTAAGAGCCGTTGGGGAGAAGCCCTGGGAGCAGGGGTCAGGGAAGGCTTCCCCTGGGAGGGTAGAGGCTGAGGAGACACAAGCAGCCCCGGGGGCTGGGGAAGGGTGTGACAGGCAGAGGGAACAGCCCAGGCAAAGGCCATGAGGCTTGAGGGGGTGTGGGCACTCTGGGGGCTGAGTGGCCTCGAGGGCCTGGCTGTGTCTCAGTGGGAGAGTGGAGGCCAGAGGCCAGGCCATGGTGGCTGTTGCCATGGTGGTGGCAGTCACCCTGGGTTCCCAGCTCTGAGTGAGTCGCAGCTTCCTCTGCCTGTAGCCCTGTGTCATCACCCTGTGGGGACCTGGCACATGCCACCCTAGGCTGGAAGGGACACGTGCTCGTACGTGCAGGGCTGGCTCTCAGTCAAGGGCTGGGCCCAAACACACTGGGGTCGTCCCCCCTGCCCTGCCTCTCACTCTGTGTCTGACCTTGGTGGGTCACGTCTCTCTGAGCCTCGGTCTCCCGTCTGCACAAGGGGGCACTGTCCCGCGAGGGTCCTCTCTGTGGTGTCCCAGGTGAAGCCACACGGGGGGCAGTGGCATTAACCAGCCCCTGGGAAGGTATTCATGGCTGAAGAACCTCCTGGCTCGGCTGCCGATTCTGCCTGGCACGGGGGGGGTTGTGCGCCTCCCATGTCTGTTGAGGGTCAGGCTGGGTGGGTTCAGCTCCCCGCGCCGGCTGCCTGGGCATATGGCATCTCCTTAGGAGGGTACCGACGGCAAAGCTGATGGTGGTTATTATTAAATTCAGATGTTTGGGGTTTTCCTTTTCTTTTTCCCCTGCCCTTAACATACTGACTGACACGCGGACTACAGGAGATGTTCCCTCCAGCTTGAGAAGCACAATTACGCCCACAGGCGGGCATCAGGGGTCCACTAAACCACCAGCCCTGAGTGCCCTCATATCAGTGGCATCTGAGGCAGGTGGGCAGGACTGAGCCGGGCCATGGACAGACCTGTTCTGTGTAGCCCTAGGAGGCAGAGCAGGGACACAGAGGCAGTGACAAGAGGCAGGTTCTCTTCAGTGTGGGAAGACTTTCCCACAGGCGGGAGCCCAGAGGAAAGGCAACGTGGCCGTACTGAGAGGTGAGCTGCCCATCACAAGGGGCGTGCAAGCAGAGATCCACTGCGGTTGGGCCTGGTGTCCTCCCAGCCCCTCCCCTGAGAGGGCACGGTTCCTCTGCCTGCGGCTGGTGAGCCCCTGTAAGCAGAGGGGTGCACGAGCACGCTCTTGGGGGAAG